GTGTTTGGATGAGTAGTTCTTCACCAGCAGGGCTGCTTAGAGGAAACCTATCTCCCTGTTCATCCTCTGCACGGGGCAGGTGCGTGCTCTCCCTTGCTCTGCTCAGTGTGCTTGTCAGAGCCGTGCTTTTAACAGTCCAACTGGTTCAACAAGCACGCTCCTCACAGCCTGCTGGGCAGGATTTTCCTGACGAAGCAGGTACAGGCTGCTGGAGCAGCTTCAGAAGAAGATAATGCTGCAAGGGAACCCATTTGCTCAAGGGCAGTTGCAGAAAGGGCTGGGGTTTTGGTTTTTTTCCCAAAGTACGTAGTGAAAGGCAGGTTTAACACACTGTTAGCATTTCATAAATGTAGCAGCCCCAGTGGCTCCCAAAAGATTATTGCATGCAGCCCTTTGCGTAATGTCTGGAAAGTGCAAACAGCTTCAGTACAGTTTTCCAGGATCTTACGATTTTATAAAAGCTGCTTTCCAATATGAATTTCCTAGGCTTGGTATTAGCCTGATGTGACCTTTATTTTCCTGGAAAGTACAATCCATTGCTGTTTAGTTCCTGTGTGGGAAGTTTGTGATTGCTTTAAGCCATAAGCTCTTATACCCACCTCTAGGATCACAAATGCCATGTGTGCATGGACTCATCAACAGCAGAAATAGTTTGTGGCTTTTGGTCAAAGTTATTTTTACAGGGATTTGAGCAATCTTTAAAAAATCAGTTTTGTAAGGAAAGAAAAAGTATGTTTTCTGCTGGGGACATGAGAAATGAAGTGGGTTTTTTGCTGTTGGTTTGACCCAAAATTGAAACGTTTCCACTTGTAAAATGAAGTCTTCAGTTGAGGTCAGTTTGACATGAGCGTGTCTGAAGTGTGGTTAAGGCACGTCCTGCCTCTCTCCCAAGCGGGTCTTTGTGGGTGAAGTCTGCCCACTTGGTGGGTTGTGTCACATCAGCTGGTTGTGTCGTGAGAGCCAAAGTGCTCTGTGGGAGACTGTGCTGGTCCTGCTGGGGGATGAACTGGGGTCTGGCCGGTTGAGGTGACCGGGATGAACAATGAGATGAACAAAAATGTAAAATTCGAAAGTGTGGAATCGGAACGTAGCTCTAAACATAGCATCTTGCAGGAAAAGGGTATTTGTATCACCTCTGTAGTGTGGTAGTGCTTCTGTGGTGCTGTTTCTTTGGGAGGCTCCCAACTGGAACCACGTGGATTGCGAGTTGTCTTTTTGTCTGTTGTCTTTCTGCCTTCCTGATGTAGGCATTCCAGCAACCATTTGAGAGAACTGATAGGGAGAAGGGGGGGGCTTGGATTAGCTTTTGCCCTCTGTTTGGATAGTTTGCTTGGTACATGGAAGACCTAGGTTCTTCTGTTGGGGTGAGCAGCCAGACCATTCTCTAGTCCAGTTTAATATCTGAACAAAGTCAAGCAGCTCACTTGGAGAGATGGAGCAAATTTCTACTACTCTGTGAAACAAGCTGTTTCCTCAAGGTCCAGGCCCTCATCTGAGAGGCAAGACAACCAAGGTTCAAACTCCTCTACCACAGGAGCTTCTCCCTTTGACCCTGCCTACAGACTAACCGTGTTCAACAGCGTATGTACCTTTTAAATGATGTAGGAAAGCCACAGCCCTGTCGGTGCCTTCACTATGCCCTGTTCCAATCTTTCATCTCTGCAGTTTCTGATGTCAAAGTGCCAATGCTTCCCTCACACAAACGTACGGACATCACCGTCTTCAAGCCCTTCATGGATCTTGACACTCAGCCTGTCCTTTTCATTCCTGACGTTCACTTTGCAAATCTTCAGCGTGGGGCTCATGTAAGTAAAGCTCATGGGTGTGGGGACGTATTTGCAAAAAGCCTGGGATGCGTACATGTGAAATGCCGGACCGTCTGCACTGATGCTGTAAAAAAATACAGGCTGAGTCTCATGTGAGCAGAGATGCTGCTCCTAGATGCGTTGGTTGGGGATGTTTTTCTGATAAAATTATTTTCCTATTAGCTCCTGAAAGGATTTTTCCACAGCATCTCCAGCTGAGAGTTCATTGAATGAACTGCAGGCTGGTTTTCTGTTGTAAAGTCTATTGGGTTCCTGGTGTGCTGCTGTAGACCGTGGGCTCCTCCAGCCTGCTGCTGCAGGGTAAAAATCAGTTCTGTGGAACTGGCAAGTGTGTCAGCTCTGTGATCCGCTGCCAGAGCGCCCTGCCTCCGAGTTCCTGGAAAGTCCCAGCTGACAGGAAACTGGAAGAGGAAAAAAATTAGAGTGCAACCAAGTTTCAAAATCTTGAATTTTCCTGTGCAGGGAGTTCTGGCATGCTGTAACATAATCTAAACCTCACTTCTTAAGAGCATTGCCTAAACTCTTAGCAGGGATGGAGAATAAACTTGTATCCGCAAGGCTGACTTTTCCGCATGTTTTCCTGCAAAGGCTTTAGTGCTGAGATCTGTCTGGAGACTCTACACCAATCCAGATAGAAAGCTGGTTAGCTCTTGTTTGTTCCTGTCACTCTCATTTGAGATCCTTTAATTTCTCTTTACGAAAGAAAGTAAAGATGATGGCTTACTGGCTTTTGGAAGACTGAGCCAAAGTGTCATTTGACACAGGGTTGAAAGATAGTAAGAGGAAAGGAATTCTAGTTCTGGATAAGATTTTTACAACCTGAAGCACAAACACCATTTGTGTATTAAAATGAAGGCCAGTGTTTATTGCTTGGACCACAGCATCTTTCTTCTAGTAGTGTAGTTGTGGCTGGCTCCCTGCTTGACAGCCTTGGTGTCCCCTGTGTCTGCACTGATGTGCGCACAAGTGAGTTGGGTGGGTGAGCCATCTGCCTATCCCTTGCGGCTCCTGCCATGCACACAGGGGTTCTGCCTCCTTTAACTTGATGCTGTTGGACCTCTGCTCATGCCAGATGTAGCAGGATTGCTGTTCTACGCCAGTGGCTCTCTAACGCAAACAGAGCTATTGCTAAGTTGCTATTAACAGATAGCACTTAGAGGGGTGGGGAGGGCATCGCTGACAAGACCGTGTTATGCCAGCTAATGGGTCTGTCCTTACGCAACTTTGGTTTGTAGCATTCAGAGCCCTTTGTAGAGTTTTCCGAGGCCTGAGTACCACAAATACGGGTCGGGCTAGCTAGCTAATTCAGTGTGTGTTTTTCTGCGTATGTCAAGAAGATCTCCCCTTTGTTTTAAAAGGTCCTTCCTGTTGCTTCAGAAGAACTGGAGGGTGAAAGGTAAGAGCTGCGCTGCTTCAGCCTACTGAAGTCTTGCCCCCAGACAGAGGGGTAAGTCCCTGTAATTGTACCACTGCTGACTTCTTGCTCTGTCAATGACAGCTCCAACCTGAAGAGAGGAGCCTATATCGGTGAAGAGGACTTTATTGCTACTCCAAATAAGATGGCCAGAATAGAAGAACCAAAAAGAGGTATTATTTTCTTCTTTCAGAGACTGTTATTGGTGTAGTTATCCATCATGGTAGAAAGATGCATCTGAGGTTAAAGAGTTGTTTTTATTTATTTTGGAGTATACTTTAGCCTGATTTTTCTGGCTTTGAGTAGTAATAGAAAGACTTTGTATATCAGGATGTAGTTCAGCTCCACAAATTTTTTACAGTGTCAGATTTTCTGGGGTTTTCTGCCAACTCAGACATTAATTGGCTCTGAACCTGTAAGGAAAGAGTCTCAGAGAAGGTGAGCAGTTTACCAGCCTCCTTGGTGGGTTGGGGGAGAGAAGTCATCACATATTCCACTAAAAATAGTTTGGAAATTTTCTCTAGGACTTTAAGTAATGAATGCCAGAACTGGTTCTGGGTATAAAACTGTTGCATCTTTCGTGGTGCTGGAAAATGGGCTCTTCATCGCTGAGAACCACACTGAGAGAATATTCTGCTTATTTTTAATCTGCTGTCAACCTTTGCAAGTTGATGTGGGATTGGATATGGCTGTGGTGTTGTGGAAGGAGATGAGAAGTCCCTCTGGAGGTGGTATAGAGGATTACCTGCCCAATGACAGTTGTGTGTGAATGGACCATGACAAAGCTTAAAGGTTTAAAAGAGGAGGATTAAACTTGTGACGCAGCGAAAGTCAAGTCTGGCAAGTCTGATCTTAATGGGGCTGCACTTCTGTAGTCTGGATAAACTAGTAAGGAAGGATGGGTTGAATGGAAACTAATTTTCTTGGTTTTTCTTGTTGCTGTATGCCATAAAACGAGACCCATGGGATCCTCTCTCCTTTGGCTGCTGTGTCATCCCATCTGTGCTGTGACTGAGAGTGTGTGTGCTGTCTTCTTTTTTTTTTAAATCTACAGTCCTTCTTTTTTTAAACCTCCCTTTAGCACAGGAAACCCATCAAGGTGCTATTGCTGTCCTGAGTTCACCTTGCTCAATTAGATATGCGAGTAATTGTTCTGTGTTGCAGGTGTGTCAGAGCTGTGGCTGATGGAACCCTTGTAAACAATCCAGGCTGTCATACCTAGTCATTAGAAGATGGATTAAAGACAGCAGAGCTGTTGAAGTCCAGGCTTTCTTGCTGTCATGGCTTATTCCTCAGCCTTAATGCAGTTTTTAATGAGGCTGATGTTACATACAGTGACTCTCTGCTAGCTTGAGAACACTAGGGATGCTTACCTAATTGGGTTTCTTACTCTTTCTTTCCCCTCCTAGCAGGAGACTAGGTCTGCATTGTATGCCAGCTGTGGTGGTATGAGTATTACAGAAACGTGGCAAGGGATAGGAAGAGAGATGAGACAGCATAGGAGGAGCAGAGGACTGTACAAATAAGTTATTTAAAAATGAGGAGGTGGCCAGGATGGCTTCACCTGCTGTGGTAGCATCTGTCAAATTATTTTATTATGCAAAGTCTTGTGGTAAATGACCTGTGAGATATGGAGGGACCCAAGAGTCTCAAAGCTCTATGTTTTGTCTGTTCCAAATAAACCTTTTTTTCAAATAACACAGAAAATACCAAATAGAGAGAAATCTAAAAGTATTTTGACAATAAAGGTGCTTGAGCATGCGGTATTTCTGTGTGCAGAAGTATGTTTTGAGCTAAGCTAGCTATGCGTGTTCGTGATGTAATCTTCAATGTGTGTTGAATGTATGTATGCATGCCTCTTCATAAAGTCCTCAATGTATGTTACTGTGTGCATAGCCACTATCATATACAGATCTTCTCTGAGGAGCAGTTATGCAGTTAATTTCTCTCTCCAATTTGTTTTTCAGTGTTGCTGTATGTCAGAAAAGAGTCAGAGGAAGTCTTTGATGCACTAATGTTAAAGACACCGTCTCTGAAAGGTCTAATGGAAGCGGTAAGTAATAAGGCAGGTTTACAGTCCTTGCCTCCAGTTTGAGAAAAAGCAAATGTAGTCCCTGGCTATCGAGTCCTTATACACTGGGCAGTCACAGGAGCTAGACTCTCAATCACAGCTTGTGTCCACGTATTCCCACTCTTCTGGATTAGAAGCCTAAGGCTGATTTCCTTTCAATAACATGAAATTTAATGTAAATAATGCTTTATTTCATTACCCCACACATCTGTGGGGTCTGGGTGTAAGAAAGTGTTTCTCAGCCTTCCTGAAAATCCAGGTGTGTCAAGCTTGGTGACTGGATGCCTGAGATTAGTCCCAAAATGGGAGGTGCTGCTGGAGAGAGAGCCTTCTAGGCTCACTTCTTATGCAGGCTTTACTGTGGCCAAGCTGCAGAAGCAGCTGCTTAGGTTTCTTCCTGGCTGCATCAAAAAATGGTCAATAGACTCCCACTGTGGATGTCCCTCATGTCAGAGAGGGTACTTTAATTAGAAGCTGGAGTGATTTCCAGAATGTGTTTGGTGGGTTGGGTTTATTTCAGTCTTTCAAAGCCTTGTTTGGGGGCCTCCCTCCCCTTTCATAACCTGCTTCTGAAGAGTTCCAAGTCCCAACTTCTGAGTGTGCTTGAAGACTTTTATATGACTGTGCACACGTGTGTGAAATTGCTCTCTGGTACTTGACTTCCAAAATAGCCTTCCACTACCCCTGCTGCTGCAGTGCTGCAAAGGAAGTACAGAGTTTAACTCTGAGGGATGGTGTAATGACTGGCACAAGCTCAAAGGTGACGTTTCCAGCTGCCTCTTTCTGTGACTAATGCCTCGGTCGCTGCTCAGAGCAGAGAGGCTTTGGGGCTGTACAGCCAGGTCTTGCCATTAGCTTTGGGGCCCAGAGATGGTTCTGTAACCTGAAGCGTTCTCTTCCTTGCTGTGGCGCTTTGCCAGCACAGGCAGGCTGGAGGTGGGGGCTAATGGGGAGGGGGATTGAAGGCTACGAAGTCCTCCCTTACCCCATGGTCCTGCAGTGAAGCTCCATCTTTGTTGTTTCACTTGGACTTCTTAAAGCAAGGAACGAAGAGCTCACAACTCTAGCTTGGAGGAAACCCCCTGTGCTTTTGCATCCTGAAACAGCCTGTTGGTTTGGTACTTGCTGTCAGTGTGATAAAGCAATTTGGCAAAGTAAACCAGGCTTAGGTTACTGACCTCATGACTTTCTGAAGGTTTGTACGGTGCAGTGCCATGGTTAGTGGCTGTGGTTTCATGCTGAGGTCACCCTGCTGGGTAAGGGGGACGTGTCTGATCAGCTCGTGTCCTTAGCAGCAGAGGTCTTTGCACTGTTGCTATTTTCTTCCTGCACCAGCCGCTGTGATGACTAGTTTTCACTTGATCCCTATGACACTGAATTTAAAAACGGTTTTTGGTATGCTGAGAGATCAGAGAGCCAAGAGAGGATGAGAACCAGGGTGTGGACTAGTTTTTTAATGTGTGGGCTTTTCGGTGTGGGGGCAGGGGGTTGCTGTATGAGAAGTCAGTGGCCAGGTTTAGAACATGATTAAATTTTTTGCACAGAAGTTGGCAAACTGCAGAGGAGGGGTTCTTGTCTGTAGGCTTATGCTATGGTTCAGGATTTAGTATTGCCTTTATAGGGCACAGCACTTGTTTTCATCTGCAGACCTTTTTTTTTTTTTTTTTTTTTTTTTGTTCCTTTCTGTAAAATAGTAAGTGGAAGACAATGCCAGCAGTTTCCTTGCTTCACCAATGCTTGCTTTCTTTTGTTCTAGATATCTGACAAGTATGACGTTCCTTTTGATAAAATAGGAAAAATCTTCAAAAAATGTAAAAAAGGGTGAGTATGTACCTGTGCAACAAGTGTCTGAGAATATGAAATATTTTTTCAAACCTGTAGGCAAATCTGCTTTATAATTCCCCCATGTACTGCACGTATGCAAATGCCATTTGCAGATACGTGTGTACGCGCGCAACATATGCACATTCCAACGTTATTCGTGGAGCTGAAGACTGGAAGGGTCCTATAGAAATACGTAGTCTGACTTCCTGGGTAAATACAAGTCACGGAACCTCTCTGAGTTAATTGCTATTTGAACCAGAGTTGATCATATCAGAGGAAGAAGTGTTCAGTTTGTTTAAAGACTCCCAGTGACGAAGAACCTGCTTCAACCCACGTTAAAATCATTCCAGTGGTTAACTGTACTCACTGTTGCTGCATTTGGCTACAATTATTAGACCTGGTTGTCTTTCTGTCGGCTAAATTGAAGAGAATTTTATTGTGAAGTGCCCGTTCCCAAAGAGGTCGCTCCCCACCGTCCTTTTTATTTTGTAGCATAAATAATTGAGTTCCTGCACATTGTCCACTTTTGGTTTTCCTTTTAATCTCTCTGTAAGTCTCTTGGTTTTTCTCTAAAGTCACTTCCGTGTCTCAGCCCCTTCCCCAAAGCCCCTCTGGCCAGAAAATTATGTCCTTTAATCACCTTTGGAATGCAATTTCAAGGGTTGTGCTTTCATAGCAGAATTGCCCCACTAGAGTAGCTGCAAAAGTTTCAAATTGATGGTAGGTAAACCACTGCTAAGGACAGCTTTGTGTGTGTGTGTGCACAAACACGCAGGTACTGACCTTTCTGGCAAATGAAAGAAGTGGCCAAACATTGGTGGTTTCTTCCCTGCGAGCTCTGTAGGGTTTTGTGCTGATTGTAACTGTCAAATAAACCAGCTCAGAGCCCCAAGGTTGCCCAAGTGTCTGCAGCTCCAGGCAGCTTTCCACCAGTTCCAAGACCTCTCTTCCTCCCTGGTCCAGGAGCCAGACTTAACCCTTCTGTTCCTAGAAGCGCAGCTGCAAGCCTACGTGGCAGGTCTGGGTAAGGACAGCCAGATATGCTCTAGGAAGCAATGAGTCAGAGATAGGCGAGCAGGGATCTTGCGTTACCCCTCAACAGTCCAAGCTCTCTTGAGATTTGAGGGCGCCTTTGCTGTCTTTGGCATTTAGAACTGTAATATATCCCTGATTTATTTTGTTTTTCCAGAATTCTGGTCAACATGGATGATAACATTGTGAAACACTATTCTAATGAAGATACCTTCCAGTTGCAGATTGAAGAAGTTGGGGGATCTTACAAGCTCACTCTGACGGAGATCTAAGATCACGGATCCTCTGTGGATTTTAAACAAAGGTCTCAAGTGAACATTTTCCCATAATTTAGTATGTTGAGCAAAACACTGATCACCTTCTCCAGAAGAAAGCCAGGTGTTGACTTGTTCTGGAGAGCAGAGCAGTGGTTTTGCTTAATACATTTTTGTTTCTGTTCTTTCCAAAGAACGTTGTAATGCTCATGGCCTTATTTGCACTTGAAATGAGCAAGCAAAGATCAGCGATTAAATAGAGAGCATGTACAAAACACTAGTAAATACAGGAGGGGAAAACCTCCTGGAAGGTGGCCTTTTAGAGTGGTGATATCTTATTTATCTGTTCAGTAACCATGTTTGAGCCCATTATCAGCTAATACCATTTTATTGGACTGTTTTCTGCTAGGTAGAGCTGCAAAACTACTAACTGATACTAGTAGGCATTGCGTGCAGGTTGGAGAAAAGTCTTTATAATGTTTACTCTTGAACAGGGCAGACTGTTGAAATCACTTGTGTCATTTGGGGGGAATGTAAAACTGCCTTGCTTATGAAGAACTCGCCTTAGTAACTGTGTGAACTCTCATCAGATGAAGCTATATTGTATATAAGTGCAATATATTTTTGAAGGTTTGTAAATGTGTACATACAAGTGATATATAATATATATAAAATATGGTGTTCTGTATATACCGTGAATATATGCAATGAAGCCCATCTAAAAGGATGCCATATACAGAGAAAACGGATATTTAACATAGCTATTTAAAAATGGACAAACCCTTAACACGCACCAAAGGTGAGCACGCGTTTACGTTCACAGAAGGCACAAGAGACCTGCTTGTTCAACGTGGATCTTCCTGTGTGGAAGGAGAAAGGTACTGTCTCTCTCCTAAACCCTCCTGCACAGCCAGGCGACGGCAGTCCTGGCTTCTCTCGTGAACTGCCAGTTTGAGCCCCAGAATGGCTGCGTGCTGCTGCCCTGGGAGGTGATTTGGGCCAAGTCTGAGAGCTGGGTCCCAAGAGTTGCTGAGCAGATGCAGTTTCCTTGAAATCTCACTTCTGGGGGTCAGGAAGAAGCTCTCCCAGAGGGTGGATTTTTTTTCTGAAGCAGCGTACTTAAGGCTTGGCTGGATGCTGCCTGCAACAGCAGCTCGGGCTGGATGAACCCATGGGTCGGAGCCAGCTTGCAAGGTTCTAGGATGTCAACAACTGGAGATGCACAGGCAAGGCTTCTGAGAGAGGAAGGTGGCATCCCGGCTCAGCAGGCCAAGCGTTAGTGGGCACTAGGGGCTGCAAGCATGTTAAGCATTCCTGGTGTACGTGCATCGCATTGACCCGCTGCTGAGGTGGAGAGACCAAACAGGGGCAGCTGGTAGCAGGTGTCCTGAGCCTACCCCCAGCTGGGAGTGCCAAACACCTCCAAAATTACTGCTCTGCAGTAGATTGGACAGTATTTACTCATCGTGTGCACGTGCTTATGAAGGAAAGGCACCCTCTGGTTAGTAGCAATTGAGAGAGGAACATTTAAACAGCAGCACTTGGCTCTAAGGCAAAAACCTGCGTTACAGGGTGGGCATATGAGTGTGGGTACCAGGTCCAGTGTCGGTGCTTTTGTCAGGGATCTGGATAATGAAAGAGAGGTTTACAGTGTTTTCAGACAGCACAAAGCTGCACGTGCCTCACCTAGGGTGTGAAGGTCAATCTGGATAAACTGGAGAAATAGCCTGGAAAAGTAGGATATGATTCTACTTAATGGTTAACAATTCTACTTAATGGTTAATGAATCATGACCAACTGTTGTTCAGCTGTGTCATGCTGCTGTTTGGCTGAGGGAGGCAAATGCCACATTGAGTGGATAAATGGGAGCATGGCCTGCAAGAAATAGGAGACCCGCCTTTTGCTCTACTTGGCATGGCCGAGGCCTCCGCTGGAGCCCTGTGCCCTGAGCGGAGCCCGGCCCCTCCAGCAGAGCCTACTCCTATCGGATGTCCCAGAGAGGCCGGACCTGCCTGGTCCTTCAGCCAGAGCTCATGGCTTCTGAGGAGGCAGGGCTGGATGAGTTGCCCGGTGAGGGGTCATCTTCAGAAGGGAAGGTTGAGGGGAGTGGCCTTCCAGCACATGGAGGGTGTTCTCCTGGTCCATCACAAGCACAATGAGAACTAGTGGGCGTAAATTGCAGAAATTCAGGTGGGGTGTCAAGGCGATTTTCTCTAGTGAGAAGAGCAGGTTGCCCAGGGAGGTGGTGGAGTTTGGTGTCAGAGGTCTTCAGAGCCAGGCTAGGCAAAGGTGTCTCTGGACTGTCACAGGTATAGTTGATTCTCCCTTGGTGCTGAGACTAGGTGAACACTTGAAGTCCCTCCCCACCATATTTTTTTTTTTAGTGAATTACATGAAACATAGTATTTTCGGATTTGGGTTCGGACCAATCCTGAGCTGGTTTGTAGAGTGCTCCATTCCCCCCTCCTTCCTGCTCCTCCACTGACGGGCCCCACAAAAGCTCGCCGATGCTCTGGGCACGGCGTGCTCCTCTCTTCACTCTGACTGGAGTTGAGCAAACTCCACATGGATGCATCCACAACTGTGGGCATGCGGATGGAGCCTGTGGGCTTGAAGCCGGCCTGCAGCACAGCGCTGGAGAGGCTTGGCCAACATGTGCCACCACCCCATACGGGAATCCACCGCCTGCAGAGCAGCCACGGGACTTGTACCCAGCCAACACCAACCCGCCGCTTGGGCTTCCCTTCATCAGTCATGGGGAATGATGTTACTATGGCAAGGGAATTTTTTTTTTTTTTTTTAAAACCTGATATATAGAATACATATATATTTACACATTTTTATTGAAAATGGAAGTTTTATTACAGAAACTCAGTCTAGGGTCAGGGAGGTAGTTTTAGAGTCTCCATAGAGGTAGGATTGACATGAACGTTATTTCTTTTTACTGCTTAATGAAGTATGTGAACTAAATCTGACGATTGTTTTCCACTATAAGATATTCTGGGACACGGGTCTTATAACAGTAGCAGCAATGTCATGTATGTTTTATGAAACTGATTTTTTTGGTTTTGCCTGCTGTTTTTTAATTGAAAATGTATTTTAAACCAAGCTATTAAATTTTATATGTTCATTTCTAATGATGAGTCTTTTATCTAGTAAACGCATCTGCCCTTCCCCCTTTATTTTTTTCTCTAGACAGGGGATCTTTAAAACAAAACCCCAGTGATCACTTACTAGTTTCTCCTCTTTGCAGAAGCAAATAATCCCGCTGCCGGCCTTGCTGCTATTCCCACATAAGCGATGGTTAGTCCCGTTCTGATTCCCTGCTTGATTTCAACCAACCTCATTCATTTTTGAGTGTGGGGAAGCCGTGCAGCATTTTGTTTCAGTAGGACCCTTTCCTTTGGCAGTAAAACAAAACCAAAAAGCCATCGGTAAGTTCGGATGCGTAGTGGGTCAGAGGTGCCTGATGGTCTCTGATGGAGGCTGAACAAAATTTTGCATGGGGGGCATCGCTGCCCAGTGCAGCAGTGGATGGGGTCTCCTGTGGCTGCAGGCGTGGAGGGGCAGCTGTGGCTCTCAGCAGTGCCACTGGCTGGCCCTGGCTGCCAGCTCATGGTGCTTCAGGTCATCACCAGCCCACAATCACTCCTGGGAGCAGTGGGTGTCTTTCCAGGAGGAGCTGCCATAACTGGCACTTCCCAGGCAGCACGGGGCACCACCGGTGAGGCTGCAGGCATTGACTTCCCCCATAAGAAAACACTCTGAAGTCCACACTAGTTCTCCACTTTAATCCCAATGCTGTGGTTGCGGTAGTGTCTGGAGAGGTGTTCGCCTCTTCCTTTTCACCATTGGGGAATGTCTTGACAAGCTTCTGCTTTAGCTGGCACCCCAGCCCCTGCAGCGGTTGCAGGGTGCTGTCCTGGGGCAGCTCCTGCGCCGGCGCCTTCCCTGTTGCTGGGCTTTCACCCGTGTGCCTTGGACTCGGTGGGGAGCGGCATGGGTAGCAGAAGATTTCTGGGCTAGAAAAAGGCACATAACACTTCTTATCTATTAGTTTATTTCAACTTCTGGTGTGGGCTGTGCTCCCAGAGTTTGTGTCCCAGATGTGAGAAGATGCTGCAGGACATTGCCCAGTGAGTCCTGGGTGATGCAAAAGTGCTGGGTGATGCCGAGTGTTGCCTCCACCTGAGCTGGTGCCCACATAAAGGTTGAGCTGGGTTTAGCCCCCATACCACCGTTTTGTGGCGTGGCGGCTGTCTCACAGTAAACCCCAGCGTGAGGATGGACCCGCTGCCAAATGGCACCAGCGCTGCTGCCCCTTGGGGGTGCGATAGCGTCGGTGTCCCAAGCCTTTACGCAGTGTCCGTGTGCACGCCTATGCCACCCCCCCTTCCTCCCGTTGGCCCTTTTCTGTTCAGCTAGTGAATTTAAAGAAAGTGTGGTTTTAAGCGGCTGTTCCCCGCAGCGGAAAGGTAAGCTCCCAAAGACGCAGCTTTGAACTCCCAAGCCAGGCAGCCTTACAGGGAGAGCCGTGCCACTTCCCTGGGGCCTGACTCGGGGCTCTAATACCCCAAATGTTTAGTTAAGCTTTTAAGATCCGATCTTTTTCTTTGTATGGGAAAGCTGAATTCTGCAGCTTATTCAAGGATCTTTTGTCTCTACAAATTAATTGCAGAAGCTTTTTCTCAAGGCTTTGCAAGAGCATGGGAGCTTGCATGCTCCTCTGGTTGGTTGGTTATTTTAGATTAGTGATTTATTATTATGGTTCAGATATTGAATATTAGATGATATATGATAGATAATAGATCAGGATAGTGGTCAACAGCTTGATGTCCAGATGGAGACCGGTGACGAGTGGTGTTCCTCAGGGGTCTATACTGGGACCAGTGCTGTTTAATATATTCATCAATTACATTGACAGCGAGATCGAGTGCACCCTCATCAGGTTTGCAGATGACACCAAGCTGAGTGGTGCGGTTGACACACCAGAAGGACGGGATGTCATCCAGAGAGGC